GCCCTGACCCCAAAGTCCACCTTCAGCATTCCCTGGGGACCTTGCTGCTCCATTCCCTTGCTGTTCTGCTGCACCCCCTCAGTGCTTTGCCTCCGTGTGGCGGGATCAGATTGGGTGCAATTCCCACACTGTGTCTCCGCTCAGTAAGCATCTTGTTAGAGACTTTCCTTATCCCTAAGTTCCAGAATGTCATGGGCCCTCCACGACCGGCCCCACACATTATTTGTGTATTTGAAACACAGCGTTGTGTTGTGGCCAGTGTCACGTCTCAGAGGGTTTTCATAGGCACTAGCAGTTGCTCAGGGTTTCGTGATACCCATGTACATTTTGGCATGTCTCCCTTCCTAGAACTTTGGAGACACCAAGCCATGAAGGAAGACTTCTCAGTTGCAAGACCACAAGTAGTTGAGAACTTTATACAGAGACTAATGGAGACTTACCAGGATGGCGAATTCGAGGTATGAACAGAAAACCAGTCCTTCCGGTCTTTTTAAACCTCAACCCAAGCAAGGTACATTTTCACCTTCACATCCTTGAATGCTTCCTTTACTCCCTTTGACTCAATGGCAGTAAGCGTTTTCTGTTGTTTTAAATTTTCACTCACTTTGAATGAGAGGGCATGACTATTGAGACTGAATCTAAAATGTCAATCATTTGTTACTATTTATCTCTTCTGGAAAAAGACTGATTCCCAATAAAAGCAGGAATAATTAGAATAACCAAATTGGCTAATGTCCAAATCGGTCACAGTTTTCAAAGTAGCCTTGGAGTTTCTGAGTTGCATTTAAGCAACGTTTTTGGTGATGGATATATATATATATATCCATATTGTATAAAAAACATTCAAGGAGGAAACCCAAATAGCCTATACTGCTACTACCTAGAAACATCACCTAGAAAATAATTTTCAATGTACACGCTAGGAAAAGATAAACGACATTGAAAGGAAGCATTTCCATCTCACCCTTCTTCTGTCTATTTCTCAAGGTAGAAGGATGAAACAATTTGAACTTTCTAGTTTGTTTGAGAACTTTTAAATACGAGGAGGGCTTCAGAGTTGAATGAGAAAATTCCATGATTTTTCCTTTCCATTTTTCTGAGAGCTTTTTGAACCCCCGTTCTATTCAGAATCTGTAGACATGTGGTATGTGGCTTCCGGGGGGTGCTCTTGTTTCTGGCCCGCAAATGCCCAGAGCAGACCTGCAAGAGTGACTCGGCGACCAGAGCCGAGGAATGGGTGGGTCCAGAGGAGCAGTGGTTCTAGGAGCCGTGAGCGCTGGTGTGGCAAGGTGGCCCGGCTGGAGCCTCTGTGCGTGATGCCACCTTCCTTTGCAGATCACGTTCAGGAAGGACCATCTGGAGGCCTGCCTCCTTTCCTTGGGCTGTGATGTGATGGCCAGGGAGCGCAGCACCTTCGAGACCTACTCCATGTGTTATGAGCAGGTGCTGCAGCACACGAGGCAGAGGCTCGGCCAGAAGGAGCAAGTATGTGAGGAACGTTGAGTGGGATGGGGTGTAGGCCCGGAGGCCCAGGGGTCAGTCAGCGGAAGAAAGTGAGACTGAAGAGGGTTTTTTCCTAGCGAGACTTAGGATCAACGGTACCCTCCAATTACTCTTGTCATTGGCTCATTTTCTTGGGCATTGGTGTCCTCAGCTGCTAAGGGGACAGCCCCAGCAAGACTGGGCCATCTAGGGGGTGTTAGGTGGGGGTATAGAAGAGGTGAGCCACCAGGGAACTGGGCCCCAGGGAAAGAGGGAGAGCTGGTGGTGTCTGTCCACACCGAGGGCACCTGAGCTGTTCCTGTCCAAGAAAGAAGCCCGGATCCGGAGGTAAACGCTGTCTTCAGGAGGAGGAGCATGGGCCCGTCTCAAAGATGAGGTTTCCCTGGGATCAGATCCCGTTTGTGGGACTCGGGAGTCACTTGGGTCCTGTGTGGCATACTGTTTTGAAATAGATTGCATAAGAGATTCCGAGAAGTTATGGTTTATACCTAGGGAAAGTCTGAGAGTCTAGCTTAACAAAAAATCAAATGTGGATCTTAAAATATCAAATAATGAGTTTTAGATTCACCCCCTGTTGGCTGCACTCAGTGTACTATGTGGACGCTGAGAGCGTGGTGCTGGCTGTTGCTGCTCTGTTGAGCACCCCCACGTCCAGCGGAGAGACAGCGGACCCTCCGAGACAGCCCAATCCTGGATCCCCCTGGGGACTATGAGTCTCAAAATCCTGCTCACCTCCACAGGCAGGAAAGGCTGGAGCCTGGGGTGCTGCTTGGATCGTGGTGGGAAGGGTGGAGGTCTGCGAGTTTCCTTAGGCTCCACTCTCTCCTCCTCAGGAGTTAGATGCGCTGCAAAGAGGTCAGAGGCCCCCGGAAGAAGATGCCAGTCAGGTAAGTCAGTTACCACTTGTCTGCGTTTCCTGGGCTTGCTGTCACAAAGTGCCACACACTGGGTGGCTTCAGATAATGGAGACTTAGTCTCTCCCAGCCCGGGGGCGGGGGTAGACGTTGGCAATCAGGGTGTTCACAGGGACATGCTCCCTCCAAAGGCGGCAGAGAAGGGTCCTCCTTTTTCACTTTCTAGCCTGGGGTGGGGCCAGCAGCTCTGGGCACTGCTTCACCTGGGGATGCAGCCATGACATTGCCCTCCCGCGGCGCTCTGCCCTCTGAGTATGTGCGTCCACATTTCCATCCTCTTGTCAGACCCCCGTCGTTGTGTTGGGGCTCACCTTCATCCAGTAGGACCTCACTTTAAGCTGACGGCCTCTGTGAAGAGCCTCTTTCCAAAGGTCTCACCCGCAGGTTCTGGGTGAATCAAAATTGTAGGGAAGACCTGGTTCAGTTCATTACACTACTGAAAACCTTCTGGTTCCCTGTTTCCCAAGTCCCTCCTCTCAGAAGTAGCCAGAAATGGGAATTCTTGGCGTCACTGGCTAGTGTCGCCTTCCGGGGTGACCTGCTGAGTCCACCACGGCAGGAAGCCAGGGTGGAGATGCCCACAGGACTGCATTATCAGGGTGTGGGTTTTTTTTAGCAGTTCTCCTTAGAGGTCATTTCTTTTCCTTCTTGAGTTTCTGCTTTCCTTTTCTTTTTCTTCTTTTGTACATTTCCCTTTTTCTTTTCTCTATTGCCACCAGCTGGAGTGCCAAATCAAAATCTCACCACCACCGAGTGGATGCCGACTCCCAGCGACTCTAGAGGCCAGGGTGCCCCTGTGGGTTTCCAAGACTGTAACCCCTGATGGCGCTAGAAAGCCCGTCTTTCTCCCCCAGAGGCTGGTGGTCGCAAACTGCTGACCTTGCAAATCCTGGCTCGACTCCTAACCACTAGGCCACCTGGCCTCCTTACGTTCAAGCGCATTCCTTTCCCCAAAAGAAACCGAAGGCCAGATTAAAGATGGAGGCCAAGAGAGTTGAAGCCTTTTCCCCAACTGCAGGTGGCTTAAGGGGTGCTTCCTCTGGGCTCCTGTAGCCAAGCAACCATTTATTGAGCACTTATGACGTTCAGCTAACCTTAGCTTCTTCAGCCCACTTTTATACAGCAGGCTATTTACCCTCCTGTGCGGTTCAGATTGAAAGTGCCCTCTCAGCGCTGATCCCCACAGAACTGTCTTGTGGCGCTTGTTTGGCATCCCGACATTGGCTTCTGCTTCGTAATGCTTCCTGCTGCTAGGTGACCGAGCTCAGCCACAATCTCATCCTGGAAACCACTGCTCTGAGAGCCCGGCTCACCGATCTGGAAGAGGAGAATCTGCATCTCAGAAAGCAGATTAGGAAAGAAGTCCAAGAAGAATATGAAGCATTAGTGCAAGCCATGTTTGTGACCTGTTTACACATAAAAGTGAGTGTCCTGTGTCAGACATCTAGGCAGCCCGGCAAAGGCGGGGAAGGGTGGGGGGAGGGTCCAGGAATAGCTGAGTCACACAGTGACTGCACTAAGAGGGGTTGATGACAGAGTGGGCCTTATAGCAACAGGAGATACTCTGTGCCCACTCCTTTTCCAGCCCTGAGCTTTCGGCAGGTTGCCACTCTCTGACCGTGGTGGACATTTTAGGTATTGAGCTACGTGTTACTTTTCACACTTTCTTGCCGATTGCCATCTGATTGCTGGGTACCCAAAGGCTCAAGTCCCCGCAATGTCTAGCACTGTCTACTGAATGTCACTATCTACTGGGAGAGCACAGGGCCAGGCCAGGCCCCAGGCTCCTGAAAGTGCACTGGGCTGGGGCAGATTTTGAATCCGCTTCCAGAGATGTCTCCCTCAGTAAAGACCCATCACAGAAGAAGAATAGGCTGCCCACAGGTCTAGCACCGTGGAAGCCGTCCACGCGCTCCTTCCATGATTTGGGCAGCTATGAGATGGATGCCCCCTGCCCCCGTCCACCTAAAATGTGCCCTCGGGAGTCAAGTGAGGAGGTCAGTACCAGCCCCACTCCAGCCCCACTCCAGCTCTGGAGCCCATTTCAACCCATAGCCTCCACAAGTGCGTCCGGGGAGCGCTGTGCTCCCCAGGGGTCTGTCTCCGTGGCTGACACTGGGCCAGTGGATCCCCAAGCCTTTCTTCTGAGATGCCTTAAATGGACTTGAACCTGGGATCTTTCTGTGAACAGTTGGACACGTTAACTATGTGCCCCACCCAAGAGCAACACAGCCTCCCTTCATCTCCCCGCCTCTCTGCTCTTGGGTGCACCACAGAGCCAGCCCCGCGTGGGCCCTGCACTTCCTCGCCTCTGCCCAAGGAACTCCAAATGGTCTCCAGGGTGGATATGTTCACAAGGGTTTGCCTTGACCTGGTCATTCCCGAGAAGACTAGCGAGCTCCTTATTCCTTCTGAAGGGCCCTCCAAGGTGCAATGCTTACAAATGTTCAAAGAATAAAACCAAAAGGTAGCGGCCCTCCCTGGCGCTGTGGGCGAGGGGAGAGAGGACAGTGAAGGCGGGAATTTGCTTTCAGACGGGAGGTTGTTGGGGAAATTCCTCAAGTTCTTCCTAGCTTCTGACAGTGTCCTAGTTAAAAAAATAAATTCGCTACTTGTCCCAGGAGAAAACCGTTTTGCCAGACTCCTCAGTCGGAAATCCCTGTGCATAGTCGGAACGCGCCGCAGCTTCAGCTACGAGGCCAGCAGCAATGCTGGCTGCCCTGGCTGCCCAGCCGCTCACTGTCCTGTGCGCGGAGATGGGTCAGAGCAGGAGGACACCTCAGCCAGCTCGATCCCTGCCCCCATGGACGCTGGGTCTGCAGTTGCACTTACCAAGGGTCAAGTTCAAGCCCCCTAGTGATAAGCTGCCCAGAAGGAGTTGTTTTAGGAGATGTTTTAGAGGGGCAGCCAGCCTGATTCCTTCCTCTCCTTTCTCTCTTCCCACGGGGGCTCCCTGGTGGGAGCTCATCTCCAGTGTGTGGCTGGTCAGATTCTGCTCTGAGACCCACAGTGGCAAAGAACCCTAAGACCAACTTCCTAAGTAATGGCAGGAATTGGGATTTCCCAAGGGCAGTTCAGCAGGCAGATTTCCATTGGCAGCTTCCCGTCACTCTGCCTGTTCAACTGGCCTTGGCACCCTTGCTGTGCCCCAGACACCCAGCCATCCCAAGGTTTGAAGTCCACTGTGACTTCCATAGACTCCAGGAAGAAACAGCGGGGAAGGTTGGGAGGAGGGTGGGGATGGGGAGTCCCTGGGTGGTGCAAACAGTTAATGATCTCAGTTGCTCACCCAAAGGTTGGCAGTTCAAGTCCATC